GTAAAAGTACGAGTGGGACTTGCCACTTACTTGGTAGCTCTCTAGTCTCATGGTTTAGTAAAAAGCAAGTCAGTGTTGCGTTATCCACAACCGAAGCGGAATATGTAGCCGCCGGTAGTTGTTGTGCTCAAATTCTTTGGATGAAGCAACAACTCGTGGACTATGGCCTTAGTATCAATCACGTCCCTCTTCGTTGTGATAATACTAGCGCCATAAGCTTGACTAAGAACCCCGTTCTTCACTCAAGGACGAAACACATTGACATTAGGCATCATTTCATTAGAGATCATGTTCTCAAAGGTGATGTCGAAATTGATTTTGTTAAAACACACAACCAATTAGCCGACATTTTCACAAAACCTTTAGAGAAAGAGTCGTTCTTCTACATTCGAAGTGAACTCGGAATCCTTGACTCCACGATGATCTAAGTTATGCATCTAAACTTATTAAACGCTTACTAACTTGAGCGTCGGAGAACTTTTTTCTTTTTTGCAGGTACCCCGTTAATGAAATCAGGGGAAACCATGCAAACAGCGCTGTCCAGGAGACCAAACAGCGCTGTTGAGAGAAACACTGTCAACCAGTTTGTGCCAACAGCGCTGTACAACACGCCAACAACGCTATCCCAGAGAGTCCCTTACTCTTCACTTTCCAGAAACTTTTTGAACATCGCTGTTCCAACCTAAAACATCACTGTCCACCCAAAACACCTTGTTTTCAACCAAAACCAGAAACTTTTTAAACAGCGATGTCCCACTTTCAACATCGATGTCCACTTTTACAAATTCTTTTTCTATCGTAAAACAGCGATGTAGAGAAACCCAACAGCGCTGTTCTAATGGGTTCAACCCCTTACACAATTCCAGAATGATTTGGAACATCACTGTAGGGAACCCAACATCGCTATCCTTTTAACACTTGTTTTTAAAACTTGACGCATAACAGCGCTGTCCAGAGGCTCAACAACGCTGTCCCAAAAGCGATGTAGCCTTCGGAACATCGCTGTTCTAGATAAATTTTTCAAAAAAAATATCCGTTGGCACCAGCATTAATTGATCCAACAGCCATATTTTTGAAAATCTGGACGTTGGAGACCTCTTTCTCTATAAATTGGGACCTCCTCTCTTCACTTTTACACACACAAACACAATTCTCTTCAACATCTTTTCTTATTTCATCATCTCTACTCTTTTCTCTTGAGTTTTCTTATCATGGGCAAGGACAAGAGCAGGGCTGCCACCTCCGGAAAATCAAAGTCCAAATCCCGGGCGCCTACGACATCCACCGAGGAACGCCTCTACTATGGTGACGGGTCATACCTTTGGTTTGATTCCGAGGAGGAACGCACCCGTTTCCTCACTTTCTTCTCTAAACGGGTTGTGGCTCCACCACGGATCATCCCGGAGCGCTACCCGGAGCTGCAGGGCTACGACGACCTCGATGTGTAGCTTCATCAGGCCGGCCTTTGGCCCTTCGTCTCCCGGGCTCGGAAGGAGATCAACCCGGCGCTGATTTAGGTCTTCTACTCCAACCTCCGGCGTGAGGGCGATGTGCTCTATTCTCTTGTCAAGAGCACGCTGATAGAACTTTCAATTGAGCAGCTTGGGTGCATCGCCGGCGTCCCCTACCAAGGTGACGACGTTTCCCTATATGGCGGAGAGGACTGGGTGCTCAACAACGAGGGCCTTATCCTCAACGAGCTTGGCATCACCGAGCTCATCCGCCATGCCTCGGGCCGCCCCACCATCCACTCCGCGAACCCCGAAGGCCGTCTTCTTCTCTACATCGTCTCCCGGATCATCAAACCCAAGAAGCACGGCCACACCATCATGTCCGGTGAAGATCTCAAGCTCATCCATGCGATCATGCATTCGGCCCCAATCAATTGGGCAAAGTTTGTCATGATCAACATGACGATTGCCGCGTCCACCGACCACGATTACCTCCTCCCGTACCCGTTCGTGGTGATAGACATCCTTGAATGGTTCAAGGTGACCACCACCGTTGGCCCACTCACAAAGGCCACGAAGATTTGGGCGATTAGCACCCAAACCTTCAAGAAGCGGTCAGACAACGCCGGACCTGCCACTGCCGTGCCACGGCCCCGTTTTGCTGCTAGCCCAGCCAAACCCCAGACCCGGGCCAACCTTGCCTCCATTGCTGACTCTCTCAACCGGCTGCACTTCAAAGTTGATGGGATGGATGGCTACCTTGAAAGACTTGACGAGGCAGTCCAACGTCAAGGGTACGCCATGAACGCGTACTTCCAACGCGTTAACTACGTCCCCCCACCGCACCATGGCACGTTCTTTGGGCAGGTGTACGGTGACGAGGACGAAGACGATGCCTCCTACGACCCGTCAAGCTCCTCGGACGAGGACGAGTTCGACGACGCCGTTGATGGTGATGAGATGGACGTCGACGACGACGAGGAGGAAACCGAAGACGAAGACTAGGACGCCCCTAGAATTTCTATCTCTTTTATTTTAATTATCCTGTTTTTTTAATGCTTCCGTTGTACTCCGCTATTTCCCTTTTTCAATAAATAAAAGTTATCCTCTATCTTTTTGTTAATGTCAAAAGGGGGAAGAAAAGGGTTATGCATACACTAAGGGGGAACGTCCCTAAAAACGGGAACATTTGATTTTAATATGACAATTTCTTTTTTAAGCACAAATTAAGGGGGAACTTTTTCACTCTTTTCAAAGTCAAATATACCTTAGTATGCATATTCCCGTCTTGTTTGTCATTATCAAAAAGGGGGAAATTGTTGGAACACGGGTTTACGCCTATGTCGTACTAAGCCGTGTTCGTTTTATGACAGGTTTTGATAATGCCAAACCGCCGTGACAATAACAAGGTTAAACTGAGCAAAACCAAGGCGAAGGAACATGGCATGATGAACGGAGAACCAAGAACCAAGAATCAAGAACGAAGACTTAGAATTATATTGAGTCGGTTTTAATGTGATCAAGACCGGCACAAACCTTCAAAACATGGCTCTCTAGGCTCATTTCATCAAAATACTTTTTGCATATTCAAAATGATTTTCTTAAGTCTTAAACCTGCCTGAAAACACTTGGAGTTCGCCCAAACCAAAAACCAAGCCATCCGGCGTTCGGTTTTCAGAAATCGGCGTTCGGCTCTCGATTTTCGGCATTGGTTTTCGGCGTCCCAACCAACCAAATGGTTTTCAACTTTTTATGACTGGTTTTTACTTCTGGGCATATTTAAATAGTTCTCCAACAAAAAACCTCAAAAACCACCTTCCGTTTTTGGTCGTTTAGTGAAAACCATGCGAAACGGCACGAACTTGGTTAGTCGTGGTTTTCAACTAAATGACGTGGTTTTTAAAATGTTTTACTTGATTTCTTAGCAAAATTAAATAAACAAATGTTTTCAATACTTGGTTTTTACTTTGGAGAACTTGTGTTTTTGACATTGGCTAACGGCGTGACTAAACCAACCATGGGTCTGGCTAAACCAGCGCAACAGCGATGTTGAGGTAACCAACAGCGCTGTCTGGCTTGGGTAGCTAAAAACATGGTTTGGCATTCAGTCCTACAACAGTGATGTTGGACATTAGACATCGTTGTTGAGCCAAGGTTGGATTTCCAAAAACTTCTGCAACAGCGATGTAGGCTTCCCTACAGCGCTGTCCAACCTAAGCCAAAGATATTGTGCATTGGCAGAAAGTTTTTGGACAGAGATGTTGACCCAGAAACAGCGCTGTCAGGCCAAACTTCCATCTTCAAAGGCAGACCTAAACAGGTATGTTCTAGTATGGAACATCGATGTAGAAACCTGACCGTTGGAAGGAATTTAAGGCTAAAACTTTCCTTGTTTGGAAGTCAACAGCCAAAACAGCGATGTAGGGATTTTAGACATCGCTGTTGGCATGACCGTTGCTTCCCATTTTTCAAAACGCAAGCCTAGAACAGCGATGTCCAAGCCTAGGACAGCGCTGTATGGGTGAATTTCAACAGATCCCAATTTCATCAAATACCACAAATTGTGCCAATCACCTCTTAAATACTTTGGTCCGTTGGAGCCTATTTTTCTACTATAAAATGGGGTGTTTGGGTCTGTTTTACATAATTACATTACTTCACAACTCCTACTCTTTCATTGCAAATCATTCTTCAATTATTCATAGCTTTTGAGAGCCATTTTTTGTGAAGCTTGTGTTGTGTTCTTGAGCGTTCTTAGTTTACTCATTATCCACTCTAAAAGAGAGTATTGTTCTTGAGTGTTTTTAGTGTTCTTAAACACTTGACAAGAGAAGGTATTTCTCTTGTTGTTCGAAGGAAGGGCT